TGAGAAATGTGCCGGGTGAGAAATGTGCCGGGTGAGAAATATTTATTTATTCGAGTTTAGTAGTGAGGTAGAGAGGTAGAGAGAGGTAGAAAGGTAGGGAGGGGGAGCGGAGGGGGTGGGGGATTAGTTTTTTATACGTTGTAGTTGTTTGCGATGGTGTCGTGATGTTGTTGAGGTAGTGTGATGATGTCGAGAAGAATATTTTGTCCGAGCTTGCACTTGCTGCCAAAGGGAATCGTACTGAACTTTGTACTCGATGCGGTATGCGCCTCCGTGGGTACTCTAACACGTACGCAAGGCATGAGTCCCCTCTCAAATTGCAGTGCAAAGACAGAAGGCGACTGCGTCCACGTGTCTACGTTGTACAGACGGCAACCGTGGTGGCGCCAGCACCGGGCGTCAGCAACCAGCCTTGTCCAGCGGCGCAGATCACGACCGAACGGAAGAGGCCATTAAAATATCCCTTACAGTCGCAGTTCCCTTTCAAACGCACGCAAGCAACTCACTGCCGCCTCCTCCTCATCGTCCATTGCCAGCCTCATCCTGTCGTCCCGTTATCAACCGCACGGGGGCGCTGGAGATGGACTTGAGCAGCCTTATCAAAGGCGCCTCCGATACCTTGAAGAAGCTGGAAACAGATGTCTCCAAGGCGGGAAAGGGCCTGGCTACCGACGCGTCGGCCTGGCAGGGTTGGACCGAGACAGCCGAGGAGGACGCCTGGGAGGATGTCGCAGGTCTGACCACCTCGGAGGTCGCACCGGCCATCCTCCCTTCCGCAAGGAAACTGAAGGACGACCCGAAACATGACAATCCTGACGTGCAACCCGAAAACCCTCACGATGACCACCAGCACCCCGCTGACGAACAGAAAGGCAGCCCGGACGCCAAGTCTGAAGGGGACCTCAAACGTCCCGTGCCCAGCCCGCAAGCTGCAAGCGATGCCGACGTCGATGTCGCCGAGTTGCGCGCCCAACTCAAAGATGCCCTGTCGCGCGTCGTCACCAGTGAGCGTAAGGTGTACGCGCTCACGCGCGACCGCGACTCATTGCGCCGCGTGCGCGACTCGCGCGCGGGCGATGCGGAGCTCGTCAAGGAGAAGGACAAGCAGATCACGGCCATCCTGAACGAGGGCGAGAAGCTGTCCATCAAGATCGCGGACAAGGAGAAGGTCGTGCGCACGCTGAAGACCACCATCAAGGAACGCGACGCCGAGCTCGAAGAGCTCAAGGTCAACGCCTCCGCCACGGAGGCCAAGCTGCAGGCCGCGAGCAGCAAACAACGCCAGCTAGAGACCAGCGAGAAGGCCGCGCAGGACGCCATGGAAGCCGCCGAGAGAAGGCTGCGCCAGGTCGAGGCTGACGCCCGCTCGAAAAACTCCTCGTCCACCGCGCTCGAGGCCGCCCGTGCACAGCTCGAGTCCCTACGCAAGGGCCAGGCCGCCGCGCTGGAGAACCAGGCCATGCGCCTCAGGGCCGAGCATGATGCCGCGTTGGAGCAGGTTACGGTACAGGCAAAGGCGCAGGAGGAGTCGCTGAATAAGGCCATGATGGAGCTTAGGGCTCATCTGACCCAGGTCATGGATAATGCTGGGTGGCGGGAGGATCAGTTTCGGAAGGAGACGGATGAGCTGCGGAAGAGGGCCGAGCAGTTGGAGGCCCGCAATGAGGAGTTGGCCGCCGCGCTTCCAGACGCTACGCGCCCACTTTTGCGCCAGGTTGAGGCGTTGCAGGCGGCGGCTTCGGAGCGCGTACGCGCCAAGTCGGCTGTCGATCGGTCGCAGCTGGAGAGGTTGCGTGCGGCCGAAGCGGCCGTTGCGACGGCGACAGCGAGGGAGAAAGCGGGTGAAGACCGCATTGGCAATTTAATGACGCGGATCGCGACGCTGGAAGAGCAAGTCAAGATTGCTCACGGCGACCAAGGAAGAGTTGGTGCAGAACTGCGCGCCTTGCAAGCTGACAACGCTGAAGTGCAAGTCAAGCACCAGAGAGAGTTGGAAACGCTAGAGGCACAGCTACTCAAGGCTAATCGCGACAAAGAGCACGCGCTGGAGGACTTGTCTCATGAGAGGGCTAGTCACCTTGACGCCATAGAAAGTGCTGAAGAAAAGGAACGTCTGCTTCGCAAACAGATTGCTTCACTTGAGACCCGAATGGAGATGCTTCAAGAGAGTCTAACAAAGGCAACTTCCATGAACGCACAACGTGGGAATGGACCTGGCCCGGGGGGTTCCAGTTCATCTCTATTGATGTCTCGTTTTGATAGCATGACAAATGTGTCGACCACAAGTTTGGGTTTCGCGGGGTCGGAGAATGGAGAAGATGCGTCGCCGTTTGCGGACGGGACTTCACCATCGGCTGGCTTATACGCTACAGAGCGGTTGTCTCAATCGCTGCGGCAACGGAATGGCGAGATTGCCTCTCTACAAGGGCAGTTGGATACGAAGGAGGAGGCGACTAAGGCGTTGGCCGAGGAAGTCGTAAGCTTGACGGCTCGCGTCGAGGAGCTCACAAAGGAGATGCACGATGCTCCTACGATGAAGGCTGGGTTTGAAGAATTGAAGAAACGGCACATGGGTCTACTGGAACTTTTGGGAGAGAGGGAGGAGCGAATCATGGAGTTGCAAGCAGATCTGTCAGATGTGAACCAGATGTACAAGGAGCAAATCACAGAATTGTTGCTTAGAATAGAGAAAATGTCAAGTTAGACCAGGAGAATGGTAGTTAATGGCCTCCGCGCAGTTGGCACACGCCCCTCATGTTTTGTACTCGGCGGATTGTAAAGCCATGTAAGATATTGCGATGGGTCCTGTTGATAGGCCCCGTGGGAGCCGTTTTGCCACGCCCGACTAGCCTCGAAGTATTTTGAGAATCGTCAAAATCGCCAGAGGAATGCTTCTGCTCACTGCTAGTATTGCTGTGGCCTTTGCATCGGAGCAAGCGTCCGTTTTGTCAGATGAGGACTGCAGAGACACAGAGATATCTCCTCCCAGTTCGATCGTGACGGCCATGCTTAGAATTTCTTGAACCACGCTGTCGTACAGGTTGAATTGCATGAATGACGGGGCATCGCAGAGGACTACTTCAACAGGCTGTGGTTGGAAAGGTTTCAAAGTTGGGTTTGTGTAGAGTGGAGACCCAAAACAGCTCCTGAAAAGCTCGTTGAAAACAATTTGTTGCCTTATCAAACCTAGAACCGGAAGAACGTCCTTTGGGTGGCACAAGGGAATTCTGCAAATCGCAAGGCCCGGGACGGTGTTGCTTCCACTGTGCGAGAACTCAATGTATTGCTTGTTTGGGAGTGCGGCAGCGGCAATAAACTCGGTAGACGGTTGGGACCAGTGAGTTTTTTTCTTGACGACCTCCCTTGCTGGAGTTGGTCCTTCTTTCTTGGGGTTGCTCATTTCTTCGTCGTTGAGGCCGTCTCTTTCTCCAAAAACAGCGGGGGCTAGTAGCTCTTGCAGACTTGGCAAGCATGTATTCTTGTCGGAAGCTTCTTCCGGGCGGCCGTCTGTTCGATGGTTTCTGTCATGCAAGGGTCTTCCGGAGCTGCCGCCAGTAGCGGTAGCAGGCGGTTGTGGTGGCGGTACACCGGCAAGCCGCTCAACCGTTTGCGCGACAGAAAGGCAGACAAAGACGGGGTTTTCAAATGTAAGGACATATTGAGCCGCGAGGGTGGCCATTTTGGGTTGATCGAAATGGAAGCGGCCATTCGACGTAAGCGTGGGATGAGTACGGGTGATGGCGATGGACCGATTTGCAATGCCATCTTCGACTCCAAGTAGCGCGTGGCGCCCCTTCATGAAGGTGATACGCAGACCGCGGGCGGAGCGCTTAACAATACCATGGCCGCGTCTGGCAGGATCGGCGTCAAGGGTGTTCGGGGTGGAGGGCACGGGGGCATTGACCTCTGCGTGATGTGCGCTGATGAGGTCGTCCTCGAAGCCTCTGAGGGCATCAATAAGGGAGATGTGCTGGGACACACGGGCGCTGAGCGTCTCCTTTGCAATCAAGTTGTGAAAGGCAAACTTGATGGCGTCGTAATCGGCGTTGCGAATGAGATTGACGAAATCGGCATCGATGTCCGAGTCGGGGAGCTCGGCGTCGTCGGCGGTGAGGTGACGAAACTTGGCCTTGACATTGACATGGTCGTTCGGGGCATCGAAGAAATGAAAATCGGCGAGAAACTTTGCACCACACACGGTCAAGATGCGCTTGGCGACCGGCTTGGCTGTGGCAGAGGCGGGGTCGGGAACTTCCTCGGACGTGATAGCATTTGCAGCAACGGCGACTGCACGTAGGCTATGAATGGCGAGCTCGTCCTTTGTCGCGAAAGGGTCCTGAGTGGCGGCAAGACGGCGGCATTCGGCGAGGGCGGCCTTGGAGGCTTGGATGACGCGGGTCTTGAGGATGGTGTCTCGCTTGACATGGAGCAGGCGATCGGGGTTTGGCGATTCCCATGATTCGCGGGCGGCGGCGGCACCTTTAAGGGCGACGAGGGAGAGGGCTAGTTCGCGACGCACGGCGGCGAGTGGGCGACGCGAAAGCGGGTGCAGCGAGGCCTGCCGGAGATAGCGCGGTTGGGGGGAGGGGAGGCGCGAGAGACCGGATGAGGATGCGAGGGAGTGGAGGGCGCGGTGGATGTCGAAAATGGCGTCGCGGGCGGTGGTGCCGGCGGCCTCGTCCGTGGAGGGCATCATTGCGCGGGGATGGGCGGGTGGGAGAGGGGTTGAAGGTCGCAGGGCGGGGTGGTGAACGAGTTCAAGGGCCAAGGAGGGTCGTTTGCTGGCAGAAACTTTTTGTCGGGTAGGGTAAAGGGAACGGCGAATAGGAAGCGCTGAGAGTTCCGAGTGACCAATAGACGACGGAGGAGTGTCTCGGAGGCGGCTGGATGATTTGGATCACGAGGCTGCTCAGTGAGTGCAGCTTGCAGGGACATACGGAGTGAAACACGCACCTCTCACCCACAAATATCTCTCGCTACAACACACACACATACGCAACGCTTCAACCACCCCCACCCCCCCATTCTCTTCGTCACCACCACCCTGTTATCTCCCATCGTCTCTCCCCTCGCCCCCCCCTCCCCCCCCCTTCCTTTCCCCTCACCATCTCCCCCCTACACCTCGCCTATCATCGTCGTCACTCCACCCCAACTTCCCGCCATGCGGGAGTATCTCCCCTCCCTCGAGCGTAATACCGACGCCTCGCCTGACCGGCGCCGCCTCTTCGACCTCGTCGATGTCATGCGTCACACTTCCTGCCCTGCTACCCGCGCCCATCTCGCGGCCCAGCTCCGCGCGGCTGTCGACGACATCACCGACATCGGCGAGACTAAAGTCCGCCCCTTCTTCGAGATCGACCACGCAAACGAGCGTGGGCCCGCAGTCGCTGACCTCGTAGACCGCCTTCACTGCCTACTCACCAGCGTCTCTCTTAATGACCGCCTTGCCGCCATCGCCGCCTTCACCGCCCTCATCACCACTACCGAAAGCATGCACGCCCGCACGCAACGCACCTCCAACGCTATCCGCGTCCTCTTCAACACCAACCTCACCGACATCGCCACCGCCTCCGCCGCTGCCCGTCTCGTCGCCACATTTTCCCGCGTCGACAGCCCTATGTCTGTCCGCGCCGTCGAGTACGCCCTCAATAACGCCATCAGTCTCATCGGCAGCCCTACGGACGAGCCGCCAAACAACCCGCTCTCCGTCGACCGCGCACGCGCCGCTATGGTGATTACTAGCTTGGCAAGGGAAAAGCGCGTCAGCAGTGTCATCTTTTGTCGCCAAGCCCCAAAGCTATGCCGCGACATGTGGAGGGTGTGTTGGGATCCCAAGGCACGCATCCGCGAATGCGGCGTCCGCGCTCTGCAAGCTGTCCTCGAAATTACCGTCACCCGCGCGGAGAAGGTTGTTGTGTCCCGTACCGTGCGTGATGTTGTCGAGACTATTCGTAGGACGCTTTCCCCGCATACCGCCCCAGCTCTCGCGACAAGCTCGTCTTCGCCCAAGGCTAACAAGGGTGTCCCAGTCGTCCATGGCTCCATGGCAGTCCTAGGCACTCTATTGTTCTCCGACAAGACCGTGTCCTTCATGCATCCGTATGCGGCAGAGCTTTGTAACCTTGTCCTGCGCTATCAAACGTGCAAGGAACCCTTATTAAGGCAGGCCCTGGCTTGGCTCCTTCCCGCGCTTGTCCGATTGGACGGCGACTTGTTCGCCAACCGCTTTCTGAATAGTGTTCATACCTCTACCCTTGGCTTAATTGAGAATCCTCGCTTTCCGGGAGAGGAGAGGGGTCGTTCTTTGGTTGCGCTTGCGGAAATTGCGAAACAAATGCCCCCTGACAGCAGCACCACTCTCATCCCAGATATGCTTCGTGTTTGTCGAGAGGCCCTTCGCCTTTCGGACGCCTTCCACGACTATCACCTCATTCCGGAGCATGACGTCATTTTGGCCATTTCGCAACTTGCTAAAGCCGAAAGATGCGGGCCATTCTTTGAAAAGGCCGTCAGGGAAGGCTTGCTCACCCAAATGTTCAATACAAATTTTACAAACAGTCTGGTCATGGCTGTGGACAATATTGGAAATGTGGTTCCAACGTTCGCCGAGCCCATTCGGCTCCGTCTTGTCCACCTAATTGCTGCCACTCTGAAGAAGAGAATGAAAGGCAGAAGCGATGGCTTCTCTCCAACACAATCAAAGGACTCCTCCGTTGCGGACCGTAGGCCCAAGTTGGGAGCGAGGAACGGCGTTGTTCCGAGAACACAATCACTCATGTCTCTGGAGGTTTCTCCACGGCAGACTGATACGCGAATGAAGTCTGCTAGTATGCAGCCTGGACTCCAAAAAGCAGGCAAGGGCGACAAAGACATTTCCGCAAGTCCCCAAGCTAAGAGCCGCGACTATTTTCGGCCCTCCCCCATCATTGACGAGCTCTACCGCATCGACTCAAGTCCGGATCTGGCTTCAAGGCCTGAAGTTAAGGCTTTCAATGCCCTCTTGAAAGAGGACTTGATGGAGAGATCATTTTCCGGTCGGACTGAAAATACTTTTATGCCTCCTGAACCTAGTCAAGATGTCGAGATAGATCAGAACAACTCCCCATGCGTAGCCTTGAAGGCAATCGTGAATTATGATTTTTCAGACATGCAAGTGCAAGACTTTATCTCCTTCGCCACTGAATTTGTGATTGGGTATGTGGAGCAAAACAGTGTTAAAGTGAGGGTACTTGCGGTCGCCGCGTGCGCGAAGCTCATGCTTAGTGCGGCTGAGCTTTGGGCCGGACCAACGAGCGCTCGGCGACTGCCAAAGCAGTTACGACGAGGAATTCATTTGATTCTCGAGCAGCTCTTGTCAATAGCTGTCGCAGATCCATCTATCGACGTGAGATACGTTGCGATCCGGTCTTTGGATCAACAGATTTTTTATCCATACCTTTTGCAACCAGAAATGCTCGAAAAGCTGTTTCTCTGCTGCCTTGACGAGAGTCTCGCAATGAGAGATACTGCGTTGGCTATCGCGGGACGTCTTAGCCAGCGAAATCCAGCCCATGTGCTGCCGTCTCTGAGAAATCAATTGGTACATTTCATGACTGTGTTAAAGTGTGATGGAGAGTGCTTTGCTACCGAGCGGCGACGAGCCACTGAACTCCTTTACACCCTTGTACACAATGCCCCTGGACTTACTGTACCATACACGACGACATTGATGGAGGCGCTTCTCCTTCGACTGCAAGAAGCCCATCGCTTTAGTGACCCGGGAATGGCGTTACCACTCTTGAAGTCAGTGGCAGAGTTGGGTGGTACGATGGGTCGCATTGATCTTCGTCCGTTTACGAAGGACTTCATTCCGCTGCTGGTGAATTCTGTGCTACATGTGCGATCGGCTGGGTCACGATACAAAATTGCAGCCTTTCGCGCTCTTGCTGCATTTGTTCAGAACACGGCTCAAGCCATAAAACCCTACATAGAACACCCACAGTTGCTTCCAGAATTGATTCAATCGTTACAAGGGGAAGCGGACGAAGAGGTGAGATTGCATGCTGAAATTTTGCTTGGATCATTGGGAGCGGTGGACCCTGATGAGCACAAACACGTCGCAATTATCAACTATAGGGCAAAGGAATCTTCTGTGGATAGAATGCCCGGTGGCGCAAGTCAGGGCCATTCCACATATCGACAGAGTGCCTCGGCTCCTCATATCCTTTTGCCTTGGAATACTGCCGGTTATACCTTGCGCACCGTCGGAGCCGAAGGCAAAGGACCCCTGACAGAACAAGAACATAAAATACAAGAGAGATATGGTATACAAGACAAGAAAACAAATCGATTAGCCATGAAGACCGGTACATATCAGGGTGGTCCAAAGAAGCCTGCAAGAAATCTAGAAGAAGATCAAATTGACATCGAGACCTATGAGGAGGAGTTGACAGTATCTCTTGCTTTGTTTGAACTGGGGAGCACCAAACTCATGAAGAAAATTGCGGGATATTCCCCGCCGTGGGCAGAGCCAGAAATGATCAAAGATTCACTAATCGGTCGACTTGAGCATCCCTTCACGGCCAGTCCGGATTACTTTCCGTCTGCTGCTCTTGAGGGCCTGCACAAAATAATAGGTAACCCGCGACTTCGCGATCAACATCGAGAAGCTTGTCAGGCAATCGTTTACATCTTGAAATCTGTCGGTCCAAAATGTGCAAACTTCCTTCCGTCTGTGGTTCCCAGAATCGAATGGCTACTAGCACAATCCCTGGCTAAGGACTCGAGAAAAGGCACGAGATTCGGTCAGTTGGAACAGCATCTTATGCAAAGATTGGCCGACATTGTAGCTACGGCTGGTCATATGTATCGTCCCTTTACGTTTGACACCGTCCTCCTTGTATTGGCGTTTTTTAATTCTGCAAAGCAATCTGCTGGTTGCGTGACCAGCGCATGTACTCTTCTTTCCCGGCTTTCTGGAGCAATTGATGCCGAGTTCAAGCCTGTCATTGCTACAGTACTTCCGTTCCTTCTGAATGCCATGGTACAGGACCGCTCTGCTAACGGGGCGATATCCACAGCAGTCTTGCGAACTTTAGAATCATTCGGCAACCTCCTAGGCAATTACCACTCTATTGTTCTAGTAACCTTAATGGAAGTTGTTTCCACAAGAGCGTGCTTTACAATCAAGGCGGCAGCTCTAACAACTCTCATTCGCATCGTCAGTTGCTATAAGTATGTAGAGGTGTTTTCTTGTGTGATGCACCCCCTCATGAAGATTCTAGCCGGGGCAAGGGATCGCACGTATGATCGCCCATCATTGAGTCAACATAGCAACGACTTAGCTTCGCACAACAGTAACACGGAATGGGCAGATGACGAATTGGCGGATTTGGCAGCTTCTGCATTAACTGAAATTGGCGTCCGCGCATCCAAGCGTTTCGACGTCTTTGTTCCAGTCGTCGCGAAAGCCTTGCGAGCTAGCAACGTGCAAAGGTCAAAAGAAATGGTGTACCGTGCTTTGAAGGCCTGTCTGATGAGAAGGGATCCAGATATCGTCCGCGAGCTGCTAGAGGAGGAACAGGGAACAACGTTCGGAAGTATGCCAGTTCTGCACGAGGGGGGAATGGATGGTTCTGGAATGAGTTCTTTTGATAGCGTTCGTTCTAAACTGGCGCCAACCGTCAGAGGACGTGCTCTACAAGGACAGCCAAGTTTGCCAGAGGGGACAAAAACCCATCAGATCGGGGCACATGTTGTCGAGCCGGAACTGGTCGCAAAGTGGGAAGTGAATCACAACTGCACAGCCCAGGACTGGATGAATTGGTTTAGCAGTGTTGGGGCCGTAATGTTTGAGCAGTCCGGTTCCCCAGCTTTCCGGGCGTGTGGACGGGTCTCAGACTCATACCCCGACTTTATTCGAGAGTTATTCAATGCTGCGTTCTTGTCATGCTGGACCACAAATTTGAGCCACCAGACTAAGTCTAGGATTTGCGATGCCCTTGAAACTGCCATGTCATCAGACACGATTCCTGTCACTATTCTTCAAGCTATTTTGTTCCTATTCGAGTATATGGACCACGCCGAAAGACCGCTACCGGCTGCAACAGCAAAGCTTGCCCGAACTGCGTGTAAGTGTGGCGCTTTTGCGAAGGCCGTGAGGTATCGGGAACAGGACTATGTGCAACATTTTGACTCTAAAGATCAAATGAAAGAAGATGTCATTGGTGAAGATGGTCTTATGGAAATTTATGAGAAGCTGGGTCAGACCGAATCGGCCGTTGGCACAGTGATCCATTACCAAAAGACTAGTGGCGAGGAAGCGAGCGAAGAGTGGTACGAAAAGCTGCAACAATGGGACGACGCCTTGAAGTCGTACAGGAAAACAATACGATTCCATAGTGGAAACGAAGAAGAGCGCGAAAGCAGTGCACCCCCTTTGACAAGTGTCGTATACAGTGACAGGCGAAGTTGGAAAGCGCTTCTTGGGGCTCTGCGATGCCTCAATGAGATCGGAGAATGGCGGGAAATGAATACGCTATTACAGGAGGCGAGGCAAGCTTGTCATGGGAATATGAACGCATTGCGGCAACTTGCATTGCAAGGGAAAGGGGCCTCCGTGACTTTTGACCTAGGCCTCTGGGATGAGTTTGAGCAGTGTGTGGACGTGCTCGAAACTGACACGTACGACGGGTGCTTTTACCACACGTTACTGTCAATCGAATTGGGGAAGGAGCAACCCATCTATCTAGACAAGGCAGAAAAGTTTCTGCATCAGGCTCGCCGCAAGCTTGATCTTGAACTCACTGCTCGTGTGTCTGAGGCTTATCCGCGGGCCTATGTCCACGTCGTCAATGCCCAGCTACTTGTGGAAATGGAAGAAATAATTCAATTCTTGCGGTTATCACGTAAAGACGCAATTGCATTTGGAAAAGGACGGCTTGACGATGTCTGGACCGAAAGATTGAAGGGGTGTAAACATGATATGTTCAGTTGGTACAGGCTCTTGATGATACGTGCGCTTGTTCAAAGGCCAGTGGACGTGAAAGAGCACTGGCTCGACTTTACGAATATATGCTGGAAGAATAAGCGTCTTCCTTGGGCAAGTGAAGCATTGCGCAAGCTGGTTTCATCTTGCAGTGAGCAATCTCAAGGAGACAACGCTTATACCAGTCAGCACCCAGTATCGGCCAATAACGTTCCCTTGGTGGGGGAGTGGAACACCAATTTTTTGCTTTCTATTAGGGAAGTAGAAGTACGATTTGCCTGTATCAAGCACTTGTGGAATGTGGGAAGAAGAGTTGAGGCCTTCAAAACATTGGATGCCTGCCGTGATGACTTCGCTTTTAGTAGGCTTGAACCTCGTGTGCGTTTCGAAAATTCTCACTCAGAGGAAGTGAGGCATATTGGAAACAATGGTCAGGCAGTCTTGACTTCGGATGTGTTCCTTCGACTTGCAGAATGGGGGGAAACTATTATCTGCGATGGACTTGAGGCGAATATTTCCGACGATCTTCCCCTTACATACGCCGATAGGGCTGTACGGATTCGTCCAGATTGGGCCGAGGCTTGGCATTATTGGGGCAATTTGAATGCCAACCGCTTCAAGGCTTTAGTGAAGGGGAACAAATCGAAACGAAGTTCACTGGATCAAACTCGGAATCCAAGATGGGATACGCCATCCAATACACCTGAATTAGCTCAAGGGCATCTCGGCAGGCGCTATTTTGATCAGGCGGTGAAGGCCTTGTTCACGGCAATAGATCTGGATACAAGTATGTCCACCCTTGAAGATTCACTGAAGGTACTAACTTTGTGGTTTAACTACGGCGGTTTTGCAGGAGTACACGCTATTTTCGATAAGTGCTTCGAACACACGAACATCATTATGTGGCTGGCTGTAGTACCGCAAATAATTGCTCGTCTGTACTCCCCGTTTCAACAAGTTCAGGCGGGAGTGAAGAAGCTCTTGACGAAAATTGGGAAACAACATCCGCAAATAGCAGTTTACCCACTTACAGTCGCAAAAGGAGCTATTGGAGAGGGTCTCCTGAAGCGCAGGAAGGCGGCTGACGAAATTCTTGCGGAGCTGAAGGTACATCACCGTGAACTTGTTGAGCAGTCTGACCTTGTTTCCACAGAGCTCGTGAGAGCCGCGATTGTCTGGGCAGAGTTATGGTTTGAAAAGCTAGAAGAAGCTTCGAAGTTGTACTTTGTCGAACATAATACTGGAGAGATGTTGGATATTTTGCTTCGCCTTCACGAAGAAATAGAGCGGGGTGCCAAAACTGAATATGAAGAAAACTTCATTAATGAGTTCGGAAAGACTTTGAAGGACGCGGCGAATCTGATCCGGAGAGTTGAGATTGGCTACAGAAGTGTTGATCCAGTGCAGAAGGAATCTACCCGGAACTACATGATTGCTGCATGGCAGCATTACCACGAGGTGTTTGGTAAACTTCAGAAAGTGCAAAACTCAATGATGCTCATGGATTTAGAGAAAGTGTCAAGGCGTTTGCATGAGGCATCAGATCTCGTGTTGGCAATTCCTGGGACGTATGATCCCAACAACAAAGAAGAAGTAATCGGGATTCGCAAGTTTGGCGCGCATCTCTACGTTCTTCAAAGCAAGCAACGTCCTCGTAAGCTTTCTATGCTTGGTAGTGATGGACGAGAGTACGATTTCCTGCTGAAGGGGCATGAAGACCTTCGGCAAGACGAACGGGTGATGCAAGTTTTCCGCCTCATCAACAAGATATTCGCGAAGAGCACGCATCGTGTTGTTCTAACAGGGGTAGAAATGAAGACATACACGGTTGTGAGTTTGTCATCCAATGTCGGTTTGATTGAATGGGTTCCTGAATGTGACACAATGCATGCTCTTGTGAAGGAATATCGAGAGGTCCGCAAGATCATGCCGAATGTGGAGCATAAAGTTATGCTTCGGCTTGCAGCTGAACCGGATCGACTACCGCTGCTGCATAAGGTGGATTTGTTCGAAGCAATGCTTCAGCAAACCGGTAGCGTGGATATCGCGAAAGTTCTTTGGCTTCAGAGTAGAAACTCAGAAATTTGGTTGGAGACCAGAAATACGTATGCCAAATCGCTAGCGACAACTTCAATGACGGGTTATCTTCTCGGACTCGGGGATCGACACCCTTCGAATCTGATGATCGAACGTTCGACAGGCCGAGTAATGCATATTGATTTTGGTGACTGTTTCGAGGTTGCTATGAGTCGGGATAAATTCCCAGAAACGGTTCCGTTCAGGCTGACGAGAATGCTTGTTCATGCCCTCGAACCTTGCGGCGTCGATGGATTTTTCCGGCATACAGCGGAAGCCACGATGGAAGTTTTGCGCCAACGAGATCCGAGAGAATCTTTAATGTCGCTGATGGAAGCCTTTGTTTATGATCCCCTATTGCGATGGAAGTTAATTGGGCCAGAAGAGCTTGATCAGATCCGCAAGGAAAGTAGGAGCGCCAGGGCTGAAGCAAATGCAACGAACGGAATGGCACCAGACACATTACAACCGTCACGTCAGGACACCGAAGAGTCGGAGGAGATGCCCGAAATAAAGAGTCTTGAAGCAACAGGGTGTCTTTCCCGCTCTGTTCGAAGTATGCAGCAGAGTGAGCGTGAATTGGAGGCGGGTCCAAGAGCTGCAGATGTGGCGAGTGAGACTGCGCCGGGAGCAATTACATTTGCCGTCACGAATGCGAATAGCACTGCGGTCAATAAGGATGACTTTGATATTGACCCGGCAAACATGCAGACTCCAAGTGAAGAAGCGCGAATGCGACAAATGCGGGCTGTTCGTAATGGGGATCAGTTTCATGATGAGAAGATTATAGGGATCTCGAAAGAAAAGGCGAGATGTGCTTTAGAGAGATTTGAATCCAAACTGTACGGGACAGACTTCGAACGGAACGTGGAGTTATCCGTTGCGGAGCAAGTTAATCGCTTGATTGAAGATGCACAAAGTATTGAGAACCTTTGTGCGTTATTTATGGGCTGGTGTGCCTTTTGGTGATGGAGGTGGAGTTTTTGATCGGGGTATCAAAGGGCGTGCATACGGCTTTGATGGCTGCCAAGACTTGATGTAGATTAATTGGAGGAGGGAGATAGAAAGTTTTCGCTTCTAGAGCGGCAATGTACAATACGAAGGAGGGGAGGACAGGCACCAACTTCTATGACCGGCTTTTGATTTGGTGAAGAGACCAAATTGTATACTATAGTGCTGAGGTATGTACTTGTAAACCATGTTTCGTTCCCATTGTGTCAGCACGCATCCTATGTATTTCTCATCACTGCTAAACTCGCCCTTGCTAGAGTCTGTGGAAGGAAAAGCTCCAGTTTCCTAGCGGGTGGATAACCGACGCGCAGTCAGGCTCCCTATTCCATCAATAGAAATCCATGAGTCGTGCAATTCGACAACCGCGGAGGCCCCTTCTTCCTTGTCCGAATCCAAAATCGCCTCTAATGTCACATGATGCACGTCATCCTTCTTGGCGTACCCACCTGGATGGTAATGCCCGGAAAAGTAAGCCTTCACAGTACCAGAATACGTCCGGAACAAGTCAAGCAACCTGTCATGGTGCCACATGACATGCTCCGGGCCTGAAGCCTCCGCCACGATCGGCAGGTGTCCGCACACGATGGCAGTGCGGCCCTCCCGTTCAGAGTCTCGGAGCTTGTTCTCCAGCCATACCATCTGCTCTGGTCCTATTGTACCATTCCACTCTTGCGCGTTGGGTTCCCCTTGGTGCGTTGCCAAATAGTGCTTGGCCATGTTTACGTGTTTATACCAAGTAGAGCGGAGAGAGACCTCAACAGTGTCCAGAACAATGAGACGCCATTGAGGAGCGAGGTCGCGAACGTAGTACGTGCCTCTGGTCAAATCGAGCTTCTGCAACAAGTAGTTGGAGTCTGCCATCATGCAATGATTCCCAATGACGTGGTGCAGGGGACTCTGCAACCGCGAGAGGTGCTCCAAGACGGTGTCTAATTCCTTGTGCGTTTGCCCTAGATGCTCTTGTCCGTCAATGATGTCCCCTAGGTGCACCACCGCAGACACTCCGCTACTGTTGAGGTGTTTCACACCTTCATCAACCTTGGAGAGCACTTTGCTATAGCTTCGGAGCTTTCCCGTCTGCTGTAAATTTATAGAAGCGAGGCGCAAGCTTTCGTCATGGTCAATGCAGGCTTTCTCGCCATGTCAGGTAATAATGAGGGGTAGAAAGAGAGTACGAACCTCGACAATCCTGTCCTCCTTCTCAGCGTACTGGATGTCGCTCATCATGCCAATGCGGAGCACCATTTCTCTACGATCAGTGGTTGCGGTAAGATTCCCTGTCACGAGTCAATGGAAGGATACGCACTAAAGAGTGCCCTCTGAAACTGCGCCTTTGAAAAAACGCAGCTATGACCCACCGCCCTGTTACGGTCGACCTCCGTATGTCTCCCCTGAACTTGAACGTTTTGTTGCGCACTTACGAAGAGGAGGGAGGGGAGAATGTTCTCAATTTTAGATGAAATCCTTCTGCCGGTAACAGCGAATCAGAGGGGCAGGCCTCCCTCGTCGATTGGATAGAGAGTTATGTCATGCAAATTCACGAATATTCTGTCACCAGTCCCCTTGAGGGGACAGTCCCCTCAAGGGGACTGGTGACAGAATATTCGTGAATTGGTTGCAAATAACTCTTGATCCAATCGACAAGGGAGGCC